TGGTTCACTGCACTGGCCGCCGCCGGACCATGGCAGCTGTCCAGCCGACCAAAGACGGACAGATGCCCAAAACTGCCACATTGACAGCCACAGCTGTCGAGGGCGGCGTGACGAAGTGTCAGCGCTACCGACGCCAGTCGCCACTGCACCGCGAACTGTGGCACCACCAGCAGTTAGAACCACACTCCTACCAGCCCCGGACGCGCGGTGGGGTCCCTCGCAATCGGTCTGGAAACAGTGTCCTACAGAGTCTGACCTGCGGCGTGCATTGTGAGCAGCTTATCGCAGCATATGTCCCGCATGCTGTATACAGAATCACAGCCGAAGGTCGCCCTCAAACACAGCGTCGATCCCGCATATCAGCTGTATCCGAACAGCTCCAGTCAGGTGGTCCCGACTGAATTCATGTCGGGTGCCATGCCAACCAGCCAACCTTTTGTATCACCAATCCCCCTATGCTTATAGCCGGTGTTATCAGAGGCTCGGTTTGTCCTATCCCACTGCGACCTGTGTCTACCACAGTCGCGTGCCGGCGATGGCATCAGGCCGACTGATGCGCCCTTCAGCGGGCCTGCCGGCCGTCGGGAGGCCTCCGCTCGGCCGATGTGCCCGCCCGCCCCCGGCTCCGGCCGCTCGCGTGCCGTCCGGTGCAGCTGGCGCCGCTATCGGGGCAGAATCCCGGCCTGACGCACGGCCCGGACGCGGCATCGCTCGAGATCTAGCCGGAATGCAGCGTCGGCGACCTCGGCTCGGAGCCATTAGCCCGTCCCGTGCGCTGAGGCCGCCGGAGAGCCTCACTTCCTCACTGCCCAGCCGTTCAGAGGGAAGACAACGCCCAGTCGGACCGGCACGACCGGGAAAACGGAGCGGTTTGCTGGCTACAACGTCATAAATCCGAATAGGTTCAGCTGAATCACGCGATGTGAAGCGTGGCATTTTGAATGCCGGTGGCCGGTCACTGCTTCTAGAAACTGGAATTTAGTTTAAGGTGGCATCCATGGAGCGGTAACGTTGAAGCGTTTCGTTATCCCATGACTAAATTGAATTCAGACAAGTTTGGCATTCCAAACGGTTGTTGGCCTACGAAAAATTCGGCCGGAAGCGGAGAGAACAAGCCTGTTAACCCGCGCGGGGCTGGGGTCTCCAGCCGAACGCGCGGGGCTGGGGGGGGGGGGGTAAATTTTACCCCCCCTGTTATCTCCCGAACTAATGGTCCGATTTGGAAAATTCAAACGCCAATCGAAAGATCTCATCACGAACAACTAAAAACATGTACTTAATTTTAAGTTTGAGGTCAAGGTCAAGGTCAGGTCAAGGGTACAAATTGCAAGTTCCTACAGTATCGGCCTTACACCGTAGTTGCCGAAGAATGGAGTCGTGGACTGAGACTAATCGCCCAAAACGTGTTCTTAGGCTACCAAGACAATATTCGTTGCATACAATATCATTCAGAGGTCAAGGTCAAGGTCAGGTCAGGTCAGGTCAGGTCACCAAAAACAAAATATAGAAAAGGGCATGTGCGACACATGTTTTATGGGTCATTTTACTCATAGAATTCAATAGGCACACTCAATAAGTGATATGGACCACCTCTGGATGAATTTCAGGTCGAGGTCAGGTCAAGGTCAGGTCAAGTGAGGTCAAATTTTGAAGTTGGTTGTTAAGGCCTAAAAAGGTGTCTATCTGATGCAGTTTTTCACGGCGAATCGAATGGTGCTACTTTTGTTTCCGTACGAGGTCTAGAACTTCCAAAAAAGTCATTTTTCAAAATTTTTGTGTGTCGTGACGTCATACAATTTTGAATAACTCCCACATTTTTGAACCGATTCTTCTAAAACTTGGTATGTAGGTGCACATAGACCACTTCTCTGACATATATTCCGGTTTTTTCGATACACTCAAAATTTTGGATTTTATAGCTATTTTCCCAAAAAAGTCAGTTTTTTGAAAAAAATTTGGGCCAAAATCCAAAATTTTCAAAAAACCGAGATAGCCATTTGATAGACAAAGTAAAATCACGTATATCCTTTTTTGTTGCGTCTTGATTCCTTTAAAAATGAAGATGTTAGCGGCGTTTGAACTTTTGCCGTTTTTGAGGCGAAAATGGCGAACATGACGTCACTAAAACGTCAATATCTCAAAAATTTTCCGACGGATTTCGCTCAAATTTTCAGGGAACGTGTCAAATTGATGTAAGAAAAGGTACTGAAAGTTTGGCGGCGCTGCGCGCCGCCGTTTTTGAGATATTGCAAAAATTCGCGAGGGGGGGTAAAATTTACCCCCCCCAGCCCCGCGCGGGTTAATGCTCCTATTTGATTTTTTTTTCTCTCTCTCTCTTTCTCTCTCTCTCTCTCTCTCTCTCTCTCTCTCTCTCTCTCTCTCTCTCTCTCTCTCTCTCTCTCGCTCTCCGTCTATCTGTCTCTCTATCTCGGTCCTGCCTTTCCACCACGTCCTTTGAAGCTTTAGACCCTAGAACTTGAAGACGAGCATTACACTAAGTAAATGCGTTTAAAACGACCGTGAGCGGGCACTGTTGGGCAGAGTTCCCCAATCGTGGCATGGTTGTTGCTCTCAGTCTTCGCTTGCCGCAAAGGCTGAAAAAAGCCGATCACAAACGGTTTTCTAATATTCAAGCATGGTTGGCAAGACGAAAAAACTGGAGGTGGAGATTTTGTAAATTCAGGGATATTTACGTGCCATGTGTTACGGTTGTTTTATATTTAGGTTCTGGTCCGACTCATATTCATAATTACAAATCGACACCGGCTGAAGCAATATTAGCCAGCCGACAACTTTCATGAATGCAACATCTGGTCTCTCGCCGTAACGAGACATTAACCCTCGCCCATGTAGGGGGGGGTTGGTGCAACCCCCCCTGAGGTTTTTCGGAAATAGTGCAAAAACGGCGGCGCGCAGCGCCGCCAAATTTTGGGTACCTTATGGGGCAAACCTTGCGCATCTTTTGATAAAAAAAAATTGACCGGGTCATGTCAGGTCACGGAGTTATGACGTCACAAAGGGAACAGCCTCCGGCCGGATTTTCACAAACTGAGTGCCAACGCCCGAGGTTTCCTGCCGGTGGTACGGACATCGGTTGATGGATCGTGATGAAACTTCCCATGCATGTTGGGGCAAGTATTGGCTATCATATGGTATAAGAAACTTGACCGGGTCAGGTCAGGTCACGGAGCTATGACGTCACAAGAGGAACAGCGTCCGGTACTATTTTTGAAAAGCGCCCGAACCACTATTTTGCTAATTCTTGTCACCTCAATGGGAATATGCAGCAATATTAGCTTCTATAGGGAGCAAATGGACCTCCCAAATCCAAAAATACAATCAGATTTCAAAAATTTAAATTTTGATTTTTCGAATTTCTGCCGCCGACTGTGACCTTGCCGACTTCCGGCGCTCCCAACGCGCCATTTTTAGAGCTAGGGAAACGAAATACATACCAAACGATAGAGAATTGATCAAGGAACACGATAGTGAAGGTTTCAAGTCGATATCTCCCACCGTTTTGCCGCAATCGCCGCGGGAAGTTGAAAAAGTATATTTTTCCGAAAAATTTGACCTTTGACCGGTCAAAAGTAGGTCAAATGATGACCTAGGACCAAAAAATATACCACCAATCGCGAGATCTCGGCGAGAGCAATCCGTTGGTCTTTTCCGCTAAGCTCTACGACGCTCCGTTTTCAAACGCCAAGGGGGGGGGGTCGCACCAACCCCCCCCCCCCCTGCATGGGCGAAGGTGGCAGATCGCCGTTTACGGGCGAGGGTTAAGTCATTTGTGCTTGTGACAGTCCGACGAGCTGCCATCGGAGCCGCCATTGTGCATCAATCATTTCCCTCCGCCACCAATCAAAATATGAATGCTATGAAGTCATCACGCCAAGCTACCGGATGGTAGGCATTAGCATAAATTAGCGCTGTACCGTTTGAAAGCCGGCATCGCAAAGCTAATTATGACAAGACCGCAGCATGGTGCGCGGTCGTGCTTTTAATGAAACGTGCAATGCATGCATTCATTTGTCCATTTTTGGGAGCGCTGTGCCGGCCATTGTAAGCAGGACAGGACTGCAGCGCGGTGGGTACGCTGGAGCGTGGGCCGGGTCTGTGACATTTGGGGCGGAAGACTGCGATCGCTCGGTGATATCCAGTGCTAAACTCGGCAGCACCAGGACTTATTCGGACCGGCCGGTGTGCGGACCGAGCTCCATGCCGTGCACCGCAGCTCCCGGCTGGCGCCTCGTGATTCACGAAGATTCCTTGGTCTGGACTGTTCAGCTCTCAATGCTGAGAAGCCCGACCTCAGCTGGCTCTGTCCTGAGCGTTGCTGGGATTCCAGGGAAGATATTCAGAAGGAATATGAAACTTGATGGAAAGTGACGGACTACACTGGGGTGGTATGTCGGCCGCTACGACGCCTATCGTCGCGGGTATCACATGTCAAACGCCTGCCGAATGAGGTGTTGAACCGCCCCGGCGACACTAACATGCTGTTCTATGAGCGAAACGACACACGTGTCTAGAGCATGTGCATTGTGCATGTTCCTGTCATTCGTGGCCTTCGGTGGGTCACACATGAATGTGTTTTGGCCGAGTGACGTCGACCGGAGGGCTAGCCGCAAAGAATCGGAGTTCCGCGGTTTCGTAAGCGACCAACACGCGATGGGGCATCTGTGAGGTGTTCATTTATTCGGTAATATGAGCTCATAATTTCACGCCTTATATAAATGCACTATTGTTCAGGGAGAAGGTACAATGCAAATTCACGGCACAACCTTTAGAAACAACTCAGTCGATGCACGTTAGCGTGTGCAACTTTGTACTTTCTAGGAAGCTCACTGTAGTTCTGAAGCCACGCGCAAAAGTCGTCTTTTTATTTGAGACCTGAGGTATACATGCTTCAGGGTTTACCGCTCGCTATTCTACGTGTATCGCCTTCAAAGTTACGCAGTTTCCGGCACGTACCTAACCCTGTGCCCTGTTCTTTGCAGGATGACAGCCTCGGCCAGGAGCTGTTGGACGTGGTGCTGCGCAGGCTCGGCATCCACGAGACCAGCTACTTCGGACTGCGATACGTGCACGCCTCTCGGCAACCGGTGAGCTTGTTTAATGTCTAACCTCATCCGCTCACAAAAAAAAAAATTGCAGCCAACATATGTAGGTACAGGGAAACTGTATGCAATTATATAGAACAGCACAAACAGGCGGCTATACGTCAGATTACTTGGTAATCAGCCCAAGCCTGTCGCTCAGTGTTCAATGTGAGAATAGCTTTGAACAGTTTTTTGTTATACCTACATATAGACTAAATTCCCATATAATATCGCAATCGATGACCTGTTTGTGTGATTCCGCATCCGGACGTCCGATGGTCGTTCCGGCAGACAGAAAAACAACAGATATATAAAATATTTGGACGAGAGTCACGAGACATAGAGTTAGACAGCTTGTGCCCTGGCCCCATCCGATCCGTTAGCCTCTGCCCGGTCTATTATTCGAGCTGTTAGCCTCTGCCCGGTCCATTATTTGAGCCGTTAGCCTCTGCTCGGTTCAGTGACGGAACAGCTGTGATAATAGCCGGGCGCACGGAGCGTTACTCGTCTGGGCGATCGTGAAATTACATTCAGCCCGTGGGCAGGCTCTCGACAGGCGGGCCGCCAGGGATAGCGGTACCTCGGGCCAGCCGGCGATGGCAGGCGAGGCTATTAATTAGGAGACAGTATGATGGAGTGGACTCGACTTGTTTTTGCCTAATAATTAATAATTAATCCCACATATATTGCGAACAAATAATCAATACAAATTGAGATATTTTCTATCAATGAGGAAACTGGATAATTGAGCGATCTATGGGCGTTGTTAGCCATAATACTGATATCTACATATTACCCTCTCTTATTACGTCCGCAGCCCCAATTATAATATACGAAGGCTTTTTACCTTCCATCCAAAAGTGTAAATGACCTGATAATACATACTTAAATACTTGGCAGATCGTTCTTCAGTTGATAATTGGAACGTTTTGCTAATTATGGCAAAACGTTCCAACGTTTTCTTACTTTTCTTTCTATGCTCAATTGCATAAGCTCTTACTGTGACAGAGCGACTTTTGGCACAGTGATATGCCGTTGGCATGTAAATAATGCCTTTTACTGTATGTTCCTTTCACAATCTTTGTGTAAATATTATAACGTCTAACATTTATTCGTCGCTTTTCAGCACTGGTTGAACCCAAATAAAAAGGTCCTTAGGCAGCTGAAAGGTACGTTTACCAGTGGTCATACTTCATTCTGCTATTACTTTCTAGCAATTTGGTTCATGCACTTGGCAGATGCTTGATAGCTGTGTTTTTGTATGTTTTCTGGCTCAAATTTCTTTGAAATGTCGCTTGTTGTGAATAACCAAAAAAATAGTGAATTGCACGTCTGTTTACAGGCACCAGTCCCTTTACACTCTACTTCTGTGTTAAGTATTACGCCACTGATCCGTGCAAGCTCCGAGATGAAATAACAAGGTATGTTCTTATTGAAAATAATATCTCTCGTAACCACGACAAACTCTTCAGTAAAATCCACTAGGTATGCATCGCAGTAAGCGTTCTGTTTAACTTCCGACAAACGGTAGTCACATTTCGAAATAATCAGTGTCTTGTTCGAGCTTTGATTGGCTGAATGCACTGATTGAACACTGTCACATTAGTTTATTAACCCTCGCATGTGTGCGGCGTTTGCCAGCTTCTAATGTGTAGGGGGGGGGGTCGGTTGGACCCCCCCTTGCCGTTTGGCCCCTGATCGAGCTAGAGCTTCGCGGAAAAAACGAGCGTGTTGCCCGTGACGAGAGAAAGCCGATGATACCCAATTTTAAGGTCCTAGGTCATTGGTTGACCTTCCAGGTCAGGTCAATGACCCAAAGTCGGGAAAATCGGGACCTGTTAGAAAGTCGTAAAGTGTGGCTGCTAAGGGGTTTTTCGGGGTGCTGATCACGAATATGGTGTTAGTTTTGATCACAGATGATGTCTTGAAGCATTTAGACCAGGTCGGGTCAGGTCAGGTCAGGTCAACCAGTAGGCGTCGTGACGGGTATTCGTAGTACGTGTCAACCGCCTCTGACAGCTTCGTAACATGTTACGAAGTCACCAAAACTACTTCGTAAATGTTCAAATGGTTGCTAAATTCGAATTCAGCTCCAAAAACTAGCCTAGAAACATGTAAAACTCGAAAAAGTGACCCGAGGTCACCCGAGGTCACCAAAGGTCAATGACCTGACCTGACCTTCAGGTGACCTTGACACACACGGGAGTAACATCAAATCACATGTTTGAACGTTTGAAACCACGAAAAGCTTGCAAACACGCGGCTAGTGCGAGCCGACATACGCGAAATCGCGATTCCGGCCAAACATGGTCTCGGAAAAGAGGTCACAGGTCAAAGGTCATTTGGGTCAGGGTCATGAAATTTTCAGGGTAGGTGTCAAATTGATCAATGCGAGGGTACTGAAAGTTTCGTTGCGATCGGCCGCTTTTTACGCGAGTTATTCGCGAAAAACCATGGGGGGGGGGGGTCCATCCGACCCCCCCCCCCCTACACATGCGAGGGTTAATTTGTTATCCTGTTAACTAATGTCACGAGCTGAATGAAATTTGTCGTGACTAAGCATTTACCGGGATTATTCCTCGGACGAGTATATTTGTGCTAGATAACGCATCCGTTGGACAACATGTTTGCAGCCGTGCAGGAATGCTGGCATGCCCGGCGTCCATTTGCGCCTTCTGTCTGCCACTGTACGATCTATTCAGCGGTGTCTCCGATCGGCAGGTACCAGTTTTTCCTGCAGGTGAAGAAGGACATTGTGGACGGTCGGCTGCCCGTGCCACAGGAGCTGTCCGCGGAACTCAGCGCCTGCGTGGCCCAGTGTGAGTACCATACAGCGGTGGTCAGTTCACAACTCCGTACAGGTGGCCGGGGAAGTTATCGATCAATCGTGCTAATGTAGATAAGTGGATGCTTCTTAGTAGGTCTTCAGTTATTTTTTGGTGATGATGTTGGTACCTTAAGCTGACCGCTGCCTTCTGTCGAAGCAACATGTGCACTAAATAAAATAAATAGGTAAATATAGGTAACCATGTGACAACCGACGCAACACTCGACTCACCACTTCACCAGTAACTAAACTCCTATGTTCTTGTGGTCACTTAACTGTGGCCTGCGTTGTCCCATACATTCTTAGAATCTGTCGCCGTCGTTTTCAGCCGAGCTGGGCGACTTTGAGCCCAGTTTGCACGGCGAGGGCTACTGTCGGCAGTTCCAGCTGAATCCCATGGAGCCGGCGTCAGAACAGGCTATCTCGGCTCTGCACAGGTCGCTGAAGTGAGTTCAACGGTATTGGGGAGAATGTCATCGCGGGTGATCGGATTGTTGCGAATCATATCCAATCCAATATTATGTGTGATGAATGAGTGTAGTGACAAACAGAGTTGAAAACATAAAGAGGAAGACTATCACTGATGGCCGAAACAATCATTGATTTATTTACTCGCTATTATTAAAGAAATGATACATTTTTAGGATTCATAATGCAGACTTACTTCCCAACAGCATACCTAAACCTATACTGATGGCGATGATGGTGAGTTATTCACCTAACCGTACCACTACCGTTCACAGGGGCCGCTCTCCGGCAGAGGCGGAGGCCGCCTTCCTCGAGAAAGTCCGATGGCTAGACATGTATGGAACCGATCTCTACCCCGTCATGGTTCGTATAAATACAATGCAGACGTTAAGAAAGTTGCCTGTTAATTCATTGATCAATCGCTAACTATTTGAATGATAAGCTTTTTGGATGTGAAAAAGAAGTTAAAATGAAATCTGTGAAACGGTTACTGTTTCGACAAGTAGGGGAAGTTATTTCTCTCTCTCTCTCTCTCTCTCTCTCTCTCTCTCTCTCTCTCTCTCTCTCTCTCTCTCTCTCTCTCTCTCTCTCTCTCTCTCTCTCTCTCTCTCTCTCTCTCTCTCTCTCTCTCTCTCTCTCTCTCTCTCTCTCTCTCTCTCTCTCTCTCTCTCTCCCTCTCTCTCTCTCTCTCTCTCTCTCTCTCTCTCTCTCTCTCTCTCTCTCTCACGAACTGCATACATCAGATTCATTAGCGCTAAAACGTATGATTTGCTTGCAACTTTTTTGTAGCATGCCTATTGCCCATTTACCCAGCTTCACGCGTTACTGCAGATGTGACCTATAGGTACCGTGCCATTTTCGCTGTGTACCCACAGGGCGATGACAGTGCCGACACCTTTGTGGGCCTGGCGCCGTCAGGTGTGCGGGTCATCAGAGGAAAAGGAAGAGTCAGCAACTATTTTTGGTGAGCTGAATCACTGCCTTCTTGGCACAGTGCCATAGGCTGGTGCAACGGTGACAACTGACAATTGCCACTCCCAGTAAACAATGTGCTTCAGGAAGATCATGGTTATCCTGTAAGCGATGTGCAATGTTTCCTCAGATAAAGCAGTGAGCGTTGTTAGTGATTCCCAGACAGCGATATTTACGCCATTTACGTATATAATGGGTAAATGCAGCGCTACAATTTATTGCTTATTATGTAATACGCGTGGTGTGCTGCAATTCTTCAAAAGCGCTGCAGTAATTCACAGGCAAATATTTTTATGTCCGATCTTTGGAAAAAAACACAACAGGTATTACGATTTATCCCTCATTACACAAGTAGGCGCGCGCTACGAGTGATTAACAATAGCTTCAAATGTTTGTGCGCTATTTTGCAGGCATAGAATATCCAAAGCATTTTGCAAGAGGGACTGTTTAGTGATCAAGACCCGCGATAATAATGTAAGTATTTGTTGTGGCATGTGACCGGCATTCATAACGCAGAACTGAGGTCATTATTGCAAAATTGGGCGCTTCGTATGCTCAATGGATACGTATAAATTAAATTATTTCATAGGGCATACCAGATAAGCTGGACCCGAGTGTCCAGCAAAGTGTCAGATTAGTTGGGCCCGCGTGTTCCACAAAGACCGGCAAACATTCGTGACAATTTGGTATGAAGACAGCAGACCTACATGGCACAATGCATCCATTGTTTTGTTGTGAATGTGGACAACTTGTGAATGAAGTTCCCACCAGTTGCGTCATTTATGCTCCGTTCGCGACTTCTCTGAGTCATCCATGGTTTCGTGACATTGGCATGCTCCTTTGTCGGCATCGCAGAACGAAGAGCAGACCATCAGCTTCCGATGCGTCTCTAGACTGGCGTGTCAGCTTCTGCTGCAGAGCTGTCTCGAACAGCAGGAGTTCTTCCGGCAGGCCCTCGTCAGCCCGCCCGCTGCTAATGGCTCCAAGGGGTGAGCAAACGTCCGCGCAATGTGTAACGTCAATTTAGAACAAGACTCACCTCAGAATCACATAACGAGACGCTTGAGATTGAAATCACTCAATGACGATTGACGAATTATTTATATCCTATGGAATATGCAATAGCATATAATTCCACCCTCATTGTGTAGCATTCCGAGTTCCGACTGAGACACGCACCAGTTGCCATGAGGAACCTGCGATACGATCAATAAAACGTTCTCGCACATACCACTGACGCAGCCCCGTGCCATGTGCTATTCCAGAGGACGGTCTGAGGCACGGCGGGGATCGACTGTATCGTCGTCAATACGACAGTGCGGCAGACGGGAAACGAGTCGACTCTCCAGCGCAGAGCACGAACAGCGTGAGTCTCGGGACGAGTGAATTCAACTTGGCCATTTTATACGCTCGTTGACGTTTCGTCGTCCTTCCCTTCTTCTTGTAATGATATTTTCCATTCGCTTTAAAGTATGTTTTGTGTTTTATCTTTTTTTGTTTCGTTATTTTAGCACACTTACCCATGAAACATTGACAACAGTTCCTGCAATCATGACAATGCGACGACAATGGTTTCATTAAATGTGTTAACATTGTCATTCTCGATTACATACGGTGTTCCATCGTATCAGACGCAGGTGTACCGACTCACAATTGTGCAATGTGTACTACCTGATTTGTCTGTCGCTCACATACAACTAAAAAACTGCACTCTGTTCACTGACTCGGGTCTCTGTTACTTCACAGCACCACAAGCTCGGGACGGCGACAGCGCCACACCGTCCTCGTGTCATAAGAGCGTGTCGATACCGCAGCCCGTCCAGAGGTTAGTTCTGTAGGATTGCATCCCTTTGGAAATGTCTTATACCTTGTTCGGAATGTTAACTTGCATAACAATAGTTCAACACGAGTAGTTAATCATATGTAAATTGTGATAGCGTATCTATAAAAAAACATACAGAAAATAGCGTATTTCGCCTTTTATGTTTTAGCAGCTGTTACGGTTCAAACCTAAACGTGTTAATTTGTTGAGATGTTAAGATGTTTCTGATAAGCTCTCACAATATCTTTAGCGGTCTCACGTTATCTCGTATCGCCGGCAGCGCCACGTCTCTGTACAGAGCCAACTCGGTGAGCGCCGAGACCAAGCCGTCGCCCGCGGGCTCTCCGAGGTCGGTCCGCTCGGCGCTGCTCTCCACCAATCAGGTGGCGAGTCTGTTCAACACGCAGCCAATCAGCAAGTCGCGCAGCCGCACCAGCGTTGACAGCCAATCGTCGGCCGACAGCAGGACGCAGCGCAGGTAACCGTCAGAGGCCCAACGTAACAGGTGAAACTATTAAGGCCTGGCTACACTACGCGTTTTCTGCGTGTGTTTTTTGCGGTTTTGCGTTTTTTTTTTGCGTAATATCGTTCTAGAAAAAGTTCAAAATACGTCCCAAAGACGCCTGGCAAAATATCAGCCTTCTCAGATCAAAACTGTTTGAGTTATAGGTATTGCATTACATTTTTTTAACTTCGGTTTGTAACGGTGAGTTTGATGGCCTATAACTCAAGAACGGGTTAAGCAACCAACAAACAGTTTACAACACTAAGCTTGCGATGAATCAAAAATTGATATTACTTTTGAAAATTCCAAAGAAAAATTTTCATTGCTGAACAAAAACCTTAATCTTTTTTCATATGCCTCTAATGACTTTTGGGACCAAAATTTTTCACATTTTTATTTTTTCAAAATAAACTTCATGTCATTTCAAATCGACATGCAAAAAAAATTAGAAAGGTGTTCTTTCTATAAGTTCCTCATTTTCCCGCAAACAAAATGGGTTTTGGAGGGGTTGTTCCAACCCAGCACGCCGTTTCGCTTCTAATAGAGCTAGAGCCTCGCGGAAAAAACGAGCGTGTGTGCCGTTACAAGTCGCAGCGATTGGTACCCGATTTTAAGGTCTCAGGTTAACCGGTAGCATCTGAGGTCAGGTCAAGTGAATGAAGTTACAGGTTCGGTTTTTAGTAAATAACTTCGCAAAAAATGGCCGCAGAGCCGCGATTTTGGCATCATTGTGTTCGCCTAGCTCAGGTGCGTCAAATTGTACATATACTTTTTGTTAGGGTGAGGTCAACTTAAGTAGTTGACCTCGGGTCAAGGTCAGGTCAGAGCCCCTCAGGTCACGAGGTTGGGCAAAGGGTATCATATGGCATATCATTCGATTCGGAAGGTCTTCCCGAGTCCATTGGTGGCTTTCCCGACTCTCTAGCTCAATTTGATCGGGGGTTATTGACGAAAAACTCGTACGACCCTAGTGACGTCATAAATGACGTCACGATTTCCCCATTGACTTATAACAGTGCTGTCACGTGACCGACCTGACCTCATGTGACCTTAAAAAATTCCCAGATATACAAGTTGTGACACCTCTGGAGAACACATGTATGCGTCCTGTAACTTTCATCTCGGACAGCTATGGTCATTGGCGTCCAAAACAATGTCAGAACCACACAGCCTTTTTCACTCTCGCGCTTATAGGAAAGAGGGTTGGATGAACCCTCTTTTCATTTTTCAGGTGACTCAGACTTCCATGGAAATTTCGGTAACCCGTGATGTCACTAGGCAGCTTTACCACGCCATTTGTAAGCTCCCCCCCCCCCCCCGAAATTACTATTCGAAACCGTTATCGTGACGTAAAATAAATACATTTATAGAGAGAACACCTTCCTAAATTTTTGCATACTTCTTAACAATGAGCCAAATATTTTTTGAATAAATAAAAATTCAAAAAAAATTGGTCCCAAAGTCCAAAAAATACAAATGAAAGAAAACTCGCTATGTCATATATCAAAAATAGCGTATTTTTCGAAACTTCAAAAATACATATTCTTCTCTGTTTCATTGCAAGTTCAATGTTATGAAATATTTGGCATTTGAATAATCCGTCTTAGAGTTACAGCCCGCCAAAGTCAGCGCTGCAAAGCAAGATCCAAAAAATGCTTTACACCAAAACTCAAAAAATACTTATCTGATAAGCCTGAAATGTTACAGGTGGATTCAGAGCCCCTGATTACCCCTGAGACCAATTCTCGTCAAATTCCGAGAGACTAGGGTGTCAAATTGGAAAAAGTGGTACGATCTATCGTGGAATGCCCCATTAGTTAAATGCAAAAGTTAATATAACTCTTATATTAATTAGAATTGAATATAAAAAACATCACAAAAACATAATACCGTTTATGTTTCTCGAACGATATTACGCAAAACCCGCAAACCCCCCCAAAAAAAACGCAGAAAACGCATAGTGTAGCCAGGTCTTTAGGCACTTCAAGTAGCTTGATCGTGGCTCGAATAATTTACAAAAATTGTTTTTGAGCTGCATACTTTTTCATTTTCCCGTGATTCAAATATTCTACGGAAGCTTTCGCTGGTGACTGATGAAACACTTTGTCATCCAGCAGCAATCATTCAGCTTCGTGCGGATTTTGTTTAACCAGTAGGTATGTAGCACGATACACGGGACATGTTAGCGACGAGCACGTAAAATGACGTTTGCCTTGACCGATTCTTCTAAGCATTTTTTGTCATGTTGTACGGCATTAAGCCGATGATAGGACATTTGTCTAGGATTATTTGTTACATTATAAGCTATGAATAGACATGGGTGCTGGCAGTTGACCACTGACTATACGGACCTTGATGATGGCATCAATTCACGAACCATTATAGCAACGATTTGAATTGACCCCGGCTCAATTCACCGAAAATGATAAGCCCATTTCGATTGTGTTCGAGCTGTGTTATGAATAGCGATTGGTTCTCGGTACGACGAACGATGGTATGTGATCAATCTGAGTTTCTCAGACATTCTTCGATTCTCGAATATTTTCGATAGCCCCAGCGCCGGCCGGCCCCCACCACAAGCTGCCCGTTTTGGCCGCCAGGTGCCAGCGCTATCGCGGGCCAATGACTAATTCCCATTTCTACCACCAGGAACCGCCACCGTCGGGAGGGCAGCGCCGGCAGTGACGTTAGCTCGGGGGCCAGCTCAGCTCGGTCCAGCCGACGGTACAGGAACCGACGGGCAGAGTCTGGGTCAGACTCAGACAGGAGCGGCGGCAGCAGACGACACCGCAGCCGGCGGCACAGGTCAGCAGCGACCAGGTCATAGGTCAGGTCAGGTCATGGAAAGGTCAGCAGGTCGCGGGGTCATGGAAAGTCATATAGTGCTGCTAAAGTACCTGGTAACTTATAAGTACAGGCCGTGTCACTGTCACTTCTAACCCGAACACTCCCTCCGCAGGCACCACGCCGCGGCCGACGTCGACGAGCTGATCGACTCGGAGCCTCAGTGGCGGGAGGTGCAGCGTCTGCAAGCTGAGCGACTGCGGCCCTCCGGCTACCAGAACTCGGGCATGGAGACCGAGACGGAGCTCTCCTACCAGCCGAAACGGCGCGTCAAACGGCACAGGTTCGAATGACACGGGAGATCTAGGGAACTGAGCTGCTAGGTCCACTCTCAATCCATCTTGTGCCTAGAATGTAAATAGCATACGGGATACCATAGATACCCCTGCATCTTCCGTTTATTATCCTGCTCAATATTTTTTTTTCTCTCAAACTAGGTATGAAGAGGTCTACATCTAGGAAGTTAAAGAACCGTAATTCGGTGCGGTTCAATTAAATAGGACAGGTGTCTACTGTCTATAATAGCTTTGTTTTAACATAACCTCTTACATTTGTGCCGACTCCCTCCAGCAGCCTTGACACAGCCTCTAACCTGTGTGCTGAATCTCTTGCAGCCTTGACCCGGCCTCTAACGTACGTATCTCCCCCGCAGCCGTTCCCGGTCCCGCTCGCGCTCGCCGGAGACGAACCGTAACCGTCGTCTGCCGGTGGAGCTGCGGCGACACCTGCAGTTTGGATTAGTGGAGCCGCCGGCCGACCCGTCCGCTGACCTCCAGTACACGCGGGTCACCACCGAGCACAAAATGCCGCGCATCAGATACGCGGCCAAACGCAGCCAGAAGGGGTGAGAGAGAGAGCTACGTAAACTGCAATTTATCGACAGAGGGCTTTCTATCTATGCGACTGTGATGATCGTTAGTTGAATTGAAGAGAGTCTGATATCATCGACCATATTGAAACAGCTGACTAAGAATAAAGGTCGTTATAATACTTGTTGGTACAACAACTGCTATTCCATGTCTTCTTTAGCAGCTCATCGTGGTGAATATTTCTTACGCACGCTGAGCAATGTCTAATGAAGTCGTATGATCAGTTCAATATCACCACTCACCACGCGGCGAATCTGACCGACTCTGCTTCTCACCACTGTTGCAGCGGTTCGGTGGATGGTCGGTCGGAGACCTCGGAGCCCCCGCTGTCAGTGGCCGCCCCACCTCAGGACACCACCACGGACAGAGCTCTGCCGCCGACCGCCGCCTACCCGGCCGTCTCAGCGGCGTACCCGAGCACGGCGGCGGCGTACCCGAGCACAGCGGCGACGTACACGGCCCCCGGGGTGCCGTACCAGTCGGCCGGGGCGCCACACCCTCCCCCGTCTGCCGCTTCACAGTCGGCCCGGTCAGCAGCCCCCGGCCTCCAGGGACGGACACCGGCCGGGGAGCGGATCAGGGAGGCCACAGCCAGGACGGGAAGGTGGGTGATTACGCTGATGGTTGATCCGAGAAGTCTCAAAACACTATCGTAAAGTTACTTCCATTGACGATCACCGGTCATGTTCTAGCTAAGGTGCGCGCTTGATTTATGGACGGAATAACTAAATCGCCAGCTTTTGTGTTCCGTAATGACCATGACGATACATTACTCATGCGCCACTGTGTTTCGCAGGGAGTCGTCTCCAGCTGCGATTGGTTCAGGTCAGACGCGGCTGACCCCGGGTCAGGTCAGCCTGCCGGCCGACTCTCCGTACGATAACTCCGACTCCGGTCTGGGCAACGAGTCGCCGACAGAGTTCACCAGGTGAGTCGCCACATAATACAGATCTACTGCTATGGAGATAGAGATAAGTTGTGTCATCGAAGCACTAAAATATGAAATGAAAGGGCAGCCGTCTTAGAAATGCGTTATTTAAGTATGGCTGCGTTGGAAACTATAAAGGGTTTTTTTTTTTTTAGGAAAATAGAAATGCGCGATAAAAGAATGCCCGATTCATCGATTATCTTCCTGAGACTGAAAATGAATAGCTTAACCAAAGAGAATGTGAAGCTCTGTTAACGTTCTCTTTATGAAATGCACATCATTATCTGTTCGGTAATCGGTTTCAACTTCAACGCTATCCGTTTTGACGGTGTCCATTTTTTTCTGGCAGACTGTCAGCACAAGCATCCTTGCAGAATGGAGTAGGAGCATCTCGTGTAAGTATAGGTACATTTGATAATGAGTAGGAATGTCCATGCTATTACCCAGAATGTACTCATGTTTAGTGCACCCTTCCGCAAAAATATGAGACGTAAACGGCAAGGTCTTAGCTGTATGGTCAGAGCTCTACAAAATAAAAGATATATGGTGATTATATGTAGGGATATGGGTTCCTTAGCTCGTACCTGTCACAACCACCATCGATCTGAATAGTTCGATCTTATTTCAGGCAATGACGTCACACGGTGAACCGCGGGTTGTGCGGACATTGGACACTATGACGTCACTCTGATGACTCATGGCAGTGACGTCAGCTGTGGCAGTGACGTCAGTAATAGTGATCACGTCAATTGTAATAACGCCACTGGAGAGGCACCGGAGTCGTTACCGTTGCGATGTTGTAAATGGGTTTCCGAGCTCATGACATGGTGATGACGATCACATCAGTAATGATGTGTGAAGTGTCGTTTGTGACGTGACGTTAACAGAGGAACACAGGGTATCAGCGTTTGCTGTCAACATGCCGTCTAGGATAATGGAACATTGTCGTTTGCCTATAGCTACGTGAAGTCCGATATTGCATTCCTAACTGGCATGCACAATGTGTATAGTGTGTAGGAGGGTAGTGAGGTGGGATAATAGATGTCTGTTGTTGATTCTAGCTTTCCTCGCGATTTATGATCACCTTGTTAGACATTGATATCGCAGCCAAGTATGCCTGGCTTATAAGCAATGTCATTGCTAAGGATAATAAGCTTGTGACTGTTGATGAAGACCAATTTGTAAAAAGTGAATGCATTTATTTTTGCGCTGGCAAAATCGAGTCATTCGGAACATCAATAATGTTTAACCCGCGCCCGGCTGGGGGTCCTGGATTTGCACGCCCTGCTGGGGGGGGGGGGTTTGAACACCCCCCCCCCTTGTAACTCGGCTCCTGGGCCACGTAGCGATACGCGGAAGGCGGCGTTCGAAAGAGCGTCAAAAATAATGACAAAATCACTTCGGTCAATTTTTTGGTCAGGTCAAAGGTCAGGTCACCAGAGGTCATTGAAGGCAAAATTTCGCCGATTTCCAGGTCGAATGTCGAAAATTTCCAAGAAGCCAACGCATAACTCGAGAACCAATAGAGCTACAGCGCCGCGGAAAAGCGCATTCGATATCCCTTTTAACGCCCTTTCTGAGTATTTCTCTCAGATTTGACCTAACGTCAACGGTTTTGCCTGCAGGGGGCAAAAACTGCAAAAATAGCCGATTTTTTCGGAAACAGTTTTTCTGCAATAACTTTTGACCCAAGCCTTGTACGAGCTTCCTTTTACCGGCATTGTGTTCCTCTCGTCAAGGCGCATCGAACGAACCATAAGTTGACCTTGAAAGGTCAACTTGAAAATTTGACCTCAGGTCAAGGTCATGACCTGACCGGAAAGAATCATGTTGCATATCAGTCGATCTGTATCGTCGAGCTGAACACATCTAAGGCGTTTTCATCGCTCTAGCATGCCTCTATCGAAAGTTATTTGCGAAAAACTGTTAGATACCATTCGTGACCTAAGATGACCTCAGGGCATTAACAAGGGTCACGGACACCATTTTCATGTTCATTGTGTCTAAACCACTTGTAATTCGGTGTTTGGGAGTGTTTATAATGTCTTTTGTCCAAAAGACGCGCATTTCAATTTTCTCCCATTGACTTATGTATAATGGGGAGGTCGCAAAATTGACCTGACCTTAGGTCATCGACATCAAAATTCTGAGATAAACATTTTGTACATGCTATTGCTCTTAGCAATCGCTGAAAGTTTCAAAGCGATCGGTCACTCGGTGTAGCTATGACAGACATTGAAACTTTTTATGAGGTGAGGTCACTTCAAGTGACCTGGTGACCTGACCTTGAATGACCTTAGTCTGAAATTTTCACAACATGTGTAGAATTGATGTATGATAACTGATAAGGTGTACCAAAAACGGCGGCGCTCCGCGCCGCCGTTTTTGAGATATTCGCGAAAAACCACAAGGGGGGGGGGGTGTTCAAACACCCCCCCAGCAGGGCGCGGGTTAATGGGATTCGGATAGCGACTATTCTGACATCATTTCGGTTGGTCCTCTAAGCTTCACAAACCTAAAAATGCGTTTGAATATGTTCGGGCAGGTTGAATTGCTGCCGCTAGTCGCTAGTACCAGTCACCTGTGGCAAAGTCTGCATGAGTGAATATTTAAACTGGATTTTTGTAACTGAAATACACTGTTCCTGCATAAAGTTCTAATTTTTATCCAAGGTGGCGACTCTTCGACGTTACGGCGTAAGAGCTGGGTGAAGAAGTTCCCAATGTCGTTTGACGACCTCTCGAACGCCGCTTGCCGCTTGTCGTTAGTTTCGTGGCAGACGAAGCAAGTTAGAGGCGTCTTGAAAAGACCACTTGAAAATCAAACGATAGCTTGCTGAGAGCTAGCGAATATCCCAGGAATTGCCACCCTTCAAACCAACATATCCCAGGCCTCGAGACGCTACGACGCCGACGGGATCATTCCACCACACGGGACGTGGGCTGCAGTAAGCAAAAAGGCAATTAAAAAAGCATTTCTTTCCGTCACCTAAAAATTCAAAGTAAATATTCCATTCATTGATTTGGATTATATTCTTGCATGATTTGTCATTATGTTGAGAATATATTGTACCCAACTTACAATAATTTACCAAAGAAACGTACTATAGTTTTATTTGAGAATGAGCGTTTCGTACTATCTATGACGCATGACATTGGCCAGGCACCCATCATGTACCAGTTGGAATCTAGCTGGTTACCGGCATATCCTAACCTAACCGTTCGGTGGCGGTCAGGGGCACAAAAGGACAGTTGTTGTCGGTGCTCCCTAATAAAAATGCCGGTGCTGTGACCGGAAGGCTGTTGCGTTCTCAGGTAATAAGAAAATTGGATGAAAGCAAAAATTCCCATCTAAGCTCGAATATCTTTAAGACTTTGAATATGATTAGGTATTGTTAGACCGTGAAAGCTCCTGCAATATCTTATATTCCAAAAGTTGTAGCGAAAAGTGTGAAGGGTGCTATTTTCAGCTCAAGCCGCAAAACCTGAATACTAATAGAAAACATGTTGAATTAAAAAATAACAATTTTTTAACAGCGCGAGAAACATGCTCGCGAAGAAAATATGTTTGTCCATTATGTCACCATCCTGTCCTGTTCCATTCTGTCCCTTCGTCCCGTCCATCCCTTCCTTCCCTTCTTTTCCTTCCGTCCCGTACCGTCCCGTCCCGACCGTGCCTACCCGTCCGCCCGTCCGTACCGCTCCGTCCGTACGTTCCCGTCCGTCTGCTCCTCCCAGCCACGCCTCGTAGTCGGACCGTGCGGTCAGCCGCCACACTCGCCCGTCTATAAGGGTCGACGTCCGCCGGCGGACCGCATCAGAGGCTGCCCAGACCCGTCGCCATGAGGAGCCAGGTGAGACGATCGAGGTGGTACGGTGGAGGCCCCGGGAGGTTGGGAGGGACAATGAAGTAAATGGTGATAACTTTAGAAAATGAGTGCAGTCATCAATCATGCAATGATAACATCTAAGTTCTGTAACAAAGTAAGGGTATATCTATTGTGCTATTGAAGTTTCTTCTTCACCGACATGTGTATAAACAATGGTAATTCGTCATCGTCTAAATCCTTTGCGAAGTAAGCCATATTGGTGATGTTCTATTATTGTATGTGCATGCGAAATGTGCATTCACGATACACATCACCTTATTTAACCATTCAAACTTAAATCAAGGCTATCTGAATTTCTTCTCTGTCCATCCACGAAAGATTCGAATTCGAAAGATCAGACTAAAGAAACTCGAGCCTTGAGCTCAATTATAAGTCAAGCGCGAGGGCGTTGTATCCCCCAGGCCGTCAAAGGCAGCAAAACAATAAATGCCGGCGAAGGTTTTACAGACGTTGAGTACTCTGTGATAAATAATAAATCATTTTAGACCAACGTGTTGACAAATCTTTGTCTTTGTCATATGTTTATCTCTTCCTGCCCTTATCGCTGCTAAGTTTCTGATGAGTGAGATATTCAAGAATGCATGACTGATGACGAGATGTATGATGCTTAATAACTTTTGGCATCTTATTGAACTCGACAAAGGATGTTCGCATTCGCAACTCAACAATTCGCGATGAAAGGCCTTATTAAACATTATTCGCAGGATCCATGGTACTTGCCTGTTTCGGTCAAAGTTCGGCCAATTTTGCAGAAAATAGCTAGAAAAGGCTACTTTATTGATCAGTAATCGTCACGCACTTTCAGAATGTGGATCGCTCATGATTGTTCAATGCAATACAATACAATACAACCCGCGCCGGACCGGGGGGGGGGTTTGAACACCCCCTGCAGTTTTTCGCAGATATCTCAAAAACAGCGGCGCGGAGCGCCACCTTTTTTTGACACACCTGTTTGTGCATCTTTTCCGCCCATGTTGTGAAAATTTCAGACCCAGGTCGCTCAAGGTCAGGTCACCAGGTCACGCCAAGTGACTTCAACTCAGAAAAAAATAGAATGCTCGTCATAGCTTCACCGACTGAACGATTGCCTTGAAACTTTCAGCGATTCATAAGAGTAACAGTGTCTATAAATCGGTTATCTCGGAATTTTGATATCGGTGATCTAAGGTTAGGTCAACTTTGCGGCCTCTCCATTATAAGTCAATTGGAGAAAATTGAAAAGCGTCTCTTTTGCACGAACGCCATTCTAGACACTCTCAAACATCGGGACGCAGGTAAAATTGACACACTGAACCGGAAAATGTCACCTGTGACCCCTCGTTATGACCCCGAGGTCATCTCAGGTCGAGAATAGTATCTAACAGTTTTCGCTAATAACTTCTGATGGAGGCATGCTAGAGCGATGAAAACGCCTTAGATGGGTTCGGCTCGACGATGCGGATCGACTGATAAGCAGCATGCCCTTTTCCAGTCAGGTCATGCCCTTGACCTGAGGTCAAATTTTCAAGTTGACCTTTCAAGGGTAAATTATAGGTTCATACGAAGCGTCTCGACTAGTGGAACACAATGCTGGCAAAATTAATATCGTGGCTCGTTTGAGTCAAAAGTTATTACCGAAAAACATTTTTCGTAAAAACGGCTATTTTTGTCAGTTTTTGCCCTCTGGAGGCTAAGCCGTAGACCTGAGGTCAAATTTGAGGACATGTCAGCGAAAAGAGCTTTAAAAGAGCTATCGAATACGCTTTTACGCGGCGCTGTAGCTCTATCGGTTCCCGAGTTAGCCGTTGGCAGTTTCCAAAATGTTGAAATAGCCAACATTTTACCTTTGGTGACCTCTGGTGACATGACCTTTGACCTGTCACCTGACCCAAAAAATGACGAGTGTTTTCGACCTTATCTTGGACGTTCTTTTGATTGCCGCTTACCGCGTGTCGCTACGTGGCCCAGGAGCCGAGTTAGAAGGGGGTGTTCAGACCCCTCCCCCCCAGCCCGGCACGGAAGTCTCGGAGCACCGCGCCGGCCCGGCGCGGGTTAACTTCACATCCTCCTTGACCATTCCAACTGTGCCACCATTTGTAGTTGCACTATACCTACCATTCATATCCATCGCACAACCCACAAATTCATCACACCATAAAATTGATTAAATGGTCAATTTTCGATTAAATGATCAATCAAGATATTATAATTTAATATATTATATATATTCAAGTGTTTTCATCTGTTTATGCGGGAACGATCTGTCATTCATCCGATAGATGAGATGATGAGATATTTGGTATAGTGCGACTTGAATGATAGAATGCATCATTTCTAGCCAATAAACTGTGACGTATACCTAACTACTTCTAACGGAACTGTGTCCGACCACAGTCCGTTCGATGTTTTGATGAACCGATAGTTTGATCGGCTCGTAACACGCCATCATTATATCGGGACCGCTATTCCATCGAGCTCAGACGGTCACAGGGCTGTGGGGTTCAGTCACCTTAAATGGGGCTAGGTCAGGGCCACAGATAATGATCTACTGTGGACCTCCGGCTAAAAACGCTAGAGAGAAAAAAAACGTCCGTCTTCGTTCCTGTACCACTCATCGGCAGACGTTCATTTGCTCGCTTATGCAAATATCTAGGATATTTGTTTAATCAAATTTAAATACCTATAGGTATCATCCTGACCGTCAAGCAACATCCCTCTGTAGTTTCACACGGTGTTTTATGCATGCATCCGTATTCCGTGGAACGACCAGTCGTTTTTCCACCCACCTCTGGGGAACCATGAGAGCGGACCTCCTGGCAACTACCCGGCCTGCGGGCGTGCGGAGCCTCTTCACCGGCCGGCTCGCCGCCTCATGGGCAGGTGAACGACTGCTGACCGCCCGGGGGGCGTGCGCGTCCGGCCGGCCGGCCGGCGGTCACCGACAGACAGTCCATGACGCCGACACGTGGCCGGCCGCGGCGGAACTGCCCGCCGTGCGCGCTAGACGGGCGGACTGTACGGGCGGACGCGCCAGACCGCTCCGGGAGGAACGGACCGAGCGAAACGCACTAAGTGTGAATACGTAGGAAGCGGAACGGAGCGTCGGAAGGCAGTGCGATAAACCGGAACAGATGGTGGTGTGACGAATTGATTCTGGTGACAGGATGGGCTGACTAGTGGAAATGGAATGCTAATTATTTCCTGTCGATTCGGACAAAAAGATGACCCGAAGTGCAGTGAACTTCATGGGAAGGTGACTCACAATGAGCTCCATGTGAATTGAACGCTATCTTCTTTTCACATTCACAAAACATGTGACATGCAGGCGCACAATGCACATGTTTATGTTCAGAACCCAATATCATAACCACAGACTGTTTTTCACTCAGACCGTATCTCAATCCCTCAGGTTCTTTGGATCGCCGCAGCGCTGCTGGTGGCGGCAGCTCCGCCGTCACTCAGCAAACCGACCGATGACGCCACAGCGACTGTGGATGACACAGGGGCCATCCTCGTCCCAGTCAGCGCTGAGGACAGACTCGACTACAAAATCGAGAACGACGACGGTATGTTGACGTGTGTGATAAACACATGGGACTCCGAGTTTTGCGATGTAAGATGACCTCAGGCCTATGCATTTAGACTTAATGGAAATAAAACTCATTTTTATAGTAATTGCCTACTCATTACTTATTACTAGGTATGCACGCCTATTGATCGAATAAATTTTGCTATACCATTTTCGTGTCCTCGTCTTAAGTTTTTTTTTATAAACATCTCTGCGCGATTGTGAATGATGTCGCATCAATATTCAAGCCGTATACACTATACATACTATCCGTAATTTCCGTAAACCATACATACCGTAGTTCGTCAGGCACATACCAGTACGGGCACAAGTCGGGTCGGTCTACCGTGTAATTTCCGTAACCCGTACCGTACCCCGCTGCAGGCACGTATATACCAGTACGGGTACCAGTAGGTACGGCTCGGCAAACCGTGTAATTTCCATAACCCGTGCCGTAACCCGCTGCAGGCACGTACCAGTACGGGTACCAGTCTGGCCGGCTGGAGGATGCCGGCGGGTACAACTTCAAGCACGAGTTCCGCCGTGAGGATGGTGTTCTCTTCGGACAGCACGGGTATCAGCTACCCGGCGGCGAGAGCCAGGTAAGGCGTTCTTAAATCGATTCGTCCCCTTGAATTATCAGTAGATACGAACTAACTAATGCATTACTTCATTACGGAGTTAGGTATTTATCCAATATTTAATACCGTCTTTGAAAAATAACATTGGAGGATTGATTATTGGATAATTTGCGTGATTACTTATTTGTGTGTGCATTTTATATGTGGGTGTACGGATAGTGTAACGTCATAAAATATAAAACATTCATAAAACTATCGGATAATGCTAGTGATACATTGTCACAACCCAGCGCTATCGTATGCTGCTAAAATAATGACCATCTCGTTACCGTCTACCACCTCGTCTCCTGCAGGCTGTGAACTATGTGGCCGACGCACGGGGCTACCGGGTGTTGGCCGAGGGTCAGCAGTATGAGCCCGTGTCGGAGCAGCAGCTGGCCAGACAGCGGGACCTGCTCGGTGACCTGGAGGCCGAGGAGGAGGCCCCGCTGGAGCTCGACCTCAGCCTGCTGGAGAAGATCAGGTACGGCCTGAGATGTTAATTTAAATTCAGCTTAATCTGGTTCAGTTTTACCAGATCATAATCAATCGCCACAAACTGATTAACATTCGAACTTGATCTGATTTAATATGATTTGACTTTATCCGATCTGAGCATTTGTGTGCCGTTTTATCATATAAATAGTGCTGATTGCGATGCCTTTATATACTGATCTATACTTCTTTTTTAGATCTAAGCTCCGTTAAAATCATTTTTTATTTGCATTGATAGATGAACGAGCGAATAAATAAATAAATAAATGAATGAATGAAGGAATGAATGAATGAATGAATGAATGAATGAATGAATGTCTTAACCATAGGTGACATGAACGAACTTAGACCGGCAGAGAGAACGAGTAGAACCTCAGCCCAATAACTGAGCCACTATTCACCTGACCTCTCCCTCCCGCTATCCACAGGAGCACGGAGGAGGTGCTGGTCTCTGCCGACCCTGATGTCGCCCTGGCGCCGTCCCCCGTCGCCCCCTACTCGGAAATGGACCCTGACACGGGCGCGTTCCGCTTCGGCTTCCGCTCAGTGGCTGAGGACGGCAGCGTCACCTTCCGCCAGGAGAACCGGCGGCCGAACGGCGTGGTGGTGGGCCAGTACGGGTTCCGCGCCTCGGATCAGCCCGGCCAGCTCGTCTCGTACGTATCGGACGCGTTCGGGTACCGCGAGGTGGACCCGGCGGCCGGACCGGTGACGGTGGTGTCCCGCGCACAGGCCCTCGAGCAGCTGCCCGAGGTGCGCAAACAGCTGGAGTCAGAGTCAGAGTCGGAGTCAGAGTCGGAGTCGGAGTCGGGGATGAGTCAGGTTGAGGTGAAGTCCGAGTCGGCAGCGGCTGAGAGTGACGCGGTGGTGGTAGGTGGCGCCGGCGGTGTGATCTCAGCGGCTACAGATGACGCCGTCATCGTCGGCAGCTCGGATTATTCCGTGCTGTTGGACGCGCAGCCCCCTGAGGAGACGGTGGTTGAGCCCGCCGCGCCCCAGCACTTGGCCAGTCCGCCCGTGTACTCAGCTCCTCTGCCGTACCACGCCGCCGCGTACCCGTACTACACCGCTGCCGCACTGCCGTACCACGCCGCCGCGTACCCGTACTTCGCCTCCGCGCTCCCGTACCACGCCGTGTACCCCTACCACGCCGCCGCACACCCGTACCACACTGCAGCGCAGCAGTACCACACCGTGTACCCGTACCACGCCGCCTCGTACCCATTCCACGCCGCCCTGCCGTACCACGCCGCCGCGTTCCCACAGATGGGTGAGGTGACGGGGTACCAGTTCCAGACGGTACACGAGCCGGCCGCTCCGCAGCCGCTGTCAGACGGTACCTCGTACCCGTCCCACTCTCCTGCCGCCACCCCGTACCGGTACCAGCCGGCGGCCAGTGTCCGCGCGCGGTACCAGTACCCGGCGCCCGAGAACCCACAGTTCGAGGCGCACCTGTACCCGCCCATCGTTAGCGAGGACGAGTCCCTCTAATTCTGCAAGAGATGGGCATCTGTTTTTTACGAAGACACCAATCTCTGATCCAGGGGCAGTAGAGATTCACAAGGCATTAACATCAAAACTTGAGTTCTCAGCATGAGCACGAGCACGCACTCTGCATTTTATGGGCATTAACGACGTTCTGACGTTCAATTATGTGATGAAAATACTCCATGTTGAGTCACACAAATAACCGAGAACTCAGGCTATGTGACATACACACACAGTATTTCCTATCAGGGCATGCGGAATGAACTATCTATGATGATGAGATTGTTGTGCTGCCTCAAATGTTTCATCGTGTTGGTTTTATACAGGACCCACTTGTTTGGAGCTCAAAGCCTCATAGCAGCGATCGTTGACAACAGAATAGCCGTTTTCACGACGGGCTATCCGGCGAGTGCACCTAATTTGACCAAATCTGCACCTTATCTCTTTTACAGCAAGTATCTTTATTTTATGAATTTATTTCAGTGTTTTAATCGATGATACTCTCTGATAATATGACAAAGCAGGCATATAAGCAAATAGTGCAACCCTAGCTGATAGCTACTAAGAGACACACTGAATCTAATTTGACCAAATCTGCACCTAATCTGCACCAGATGTGTACCAAATGTGTACCAGATGGCCGTCGTGAAAACGGCTAATGTCCATTGTCATCGAGCTTCGGTGTTCAACGTATTGCTCTACTCGTATGTATGTTACAACTCCGAAGACATTGTATGAGTTCATGACATGTGTTGTCAATTAAGCAGAACAATAAACATGTACATGTTACGGGTCATATGCTAACTTGGGCAGTATGCAAACTACCCGGGCAGTATGCAAACTACCCAACAGCCCGGGCAGTATGCATACCGCCCGGGTAGTATGCATACTACCCGACCCCTTGGGCAGTATGCATACCGCCCGGGCAGTTTGCATACTGCCCGGGTAGTATGCATACTACCCACCTTTTCTCTCACGGGCAAGATGTTTACTCGGGCAATATGCTGACCGTGGCCCGTGAGACCAGTTAATGCAATAGCTCACATATACATGTCACTGACAGACGCTTTAACCCGCGCCAGGGCGGTGCTCAGCGCCAATCGTGCAGGGCTGGGGGGGGGGGGGGTGATGAACACCCTGTTCGACTCCCGTGCCACTTAGCGGAACAGAAGTAAGCGCCAAGCGGCATGTAAGATGCGGTAACCGGCATTCGAAATAGCGTCAAAGATCATGACGAAAGTGCCCTAGTCATTTTTAAGGTCAGGTCAAAGAAAAAGGCAACAGAGGTTATCAAAGATCAAATTTCGTCTTTTCATTTTTTTTTTTTTATAAATTCGTCCATAACTCGGAAGATAGTAGAGCTACAGCGCCGCAGAAAGACGCATTCGATAGCTCTTTTAGCGCTTTCTGGAATAAGTGCTCGAAGTTGATCTAAGTTCAAAATTTGACCTGAGGTCAAGGTCATGACCTGACATAAAAAGGTCATGTGATGTTGTTTATCAGCCGCTCCTTATCGTCGAACTGAACACATCTAAGGTTGTTTCCATGACCATCGCTCCAACACGTCTCCATAAAAAATAATGGTCAAAGAACTGCTGGAGACCTTTTATGAACTGACATGACCTCATGGCCATAAAAAGGGGTCACAAGTGTAATTTCTCGATTCGGTGCGTCATGTTTACCTGTAGCCCGATGTTTGAGAGTGTTTAGAATGACGTTCATCAAAAGAGGCGCCCTTCAACTTTCTCCTGTCAACTTCTTAGGGAGACTGTGCGAAATTGACTTGACCTTAAGTCATTGGTATGATATCAAAATTCAAATACATGCATTTTGAACTAACGTTACTCTTATTAATCGCTTTAAGTTTCAAAGCGATCGTTCGGTCCGTGTAGCAATGGCGAGCATTCTAACTTTTTCTGGGGTAAGGTCGCTTGACCTGACCTGGTAACCCGACCATAACAACTTGTAACGTCTTACATGCAAATGGTTTCATGCAACATTAGCTATTGAAACTATAAAAACGCCATCTACAGGTCCAAGTGCCAAACCAAAGCCAGCGAGTGATGGCACTATAGATCTGTTGTCATTTCAGATGAAAATGACTTGTTGGCCGTTGGCAATGAAATTCAATGAAATTCTGGGGAAATATTTAAAGTATTTATATTCCAAACATTATTTCACCCTTCGATCGATAAATCACGTTTGACGGCAAAAAAGACTTCGCGATTGAACAACGTTACTTTTTTATATTTAGTCCGAACCTTTTATCCTTTGAATACAAGGATTCACAGGGACAGAGCCCCCGCTAATCGAAGCTTGTTGCGGTAACCCTGCCGTTTACCCTCCGATCGCGCAATGCTGGTTCTATGACAGAATTTGGAGTCCAAAGTTTAAAGTACGCACAGAGCCGCGCACGGCCGGTCCTCTCACTGACTTCGCTTGGCTACGGCCCGCCACAAACCGCAATCATACCTGTAAGGAGGTTCATTAAACGTCAATCGCCCGTCGGCTTCGAACTCGGACTGTTATACCGGGAACGCGTGCTCTCACCACGCGGAGTCCAACGCTCTACCGACTGAGCTACAAGACCGGCCAATACTAATAGAGCCATTAATACTTTTTAAAATGGACATGGAATACACAACTTCAAGACAAAAAGCGGGCAGTATGCAAACTGCCCGAGCTTTTGGGCGGTATGCATACTGCCCAAGGGGTCGGGTAGTATGCATACTACCCGGGCGGTATGCATACTTCCCGGGCTGTTGGGTAGTTTGCATACTGCCCGGGTAGTTTGCATACTGCCCAAGTTAGCATATGACCCGTAACATACATACTGCATTTTTATCTTGAACGGAAGAAGGCGAATCAATACATGCATAGGTATACTGCATGCGTCTTGCCAGGATCATGTAGATACATTTATGTAACTAGAACTATAGATATGTAACTAGATACGTTTAGAAACAAATGTTTTTGCTCAAATGCAAGGTAAGTGCTCGTAAGCATGCATACAGCTGACCATATCCCATTCGATGAAGATTTGTAGTGCAACTGTGTTCCATAGGTGATAGGATATTGATACGGGATGCGACAGGACAAACAGGAATTACAACCCAGCTGGGACGGCGGCGCGAAAACAGCGAGACCTGCAGGGACGCGTGATTCATTGCTATTGTCAGCTATCGTATAGGACGTGCCTGAAAAGGAGCGCGTCCGCTCGATGCTCACATTCTAATTGATAGCGACATTCTTTGTGTTCAAACAGTCGGGTAAACGCCGACCTGCAGATTTGAAAGCTATCCACGATCGAGTGCACCGTTATAATGGAGCCAGAACCAATATCAATATGCCGTGCTTTCATTTCTCTGTTTGTATAGTTTCTGGGATCCATTGTAAGGAGAACGATAAGGCAGGACAGTCAAGGCACACTTAATAGTAATATAGATAGTGCGAGAAAAGTAGCTTCAAATGCTTCTTCGATGCTTTAGAATTTCTAATGGCTTTATGACCTCGATCGGCTGTACGCACGTGTTTCCATGGTCTCAAGAGCGTCGTATAGTGCGCCTCATATATTATTTCAAACGCAGCTCAATGGAAATAATAGATGATTTGTTTCAACCTTTAAATTTGTGAATGGTTCTGACGGACTATCTAAAGTGGGTCATAACCAAATGATTTGTCTCCTTCCCAAGTTGTATCAAGCCAATTAGTTTGAGAACTGAGCAGCAGCACGTCCGGTTTGTGGGCCTTTAAAAAGTATCACTCATTTATCAGTTACGGCCCATCGTGGTGGGACAGCGAGAACCATTTCAACGAGGCTGCTTGACGTTAACGCGCGGTAGTCCCCGGAGGAGTTTCTTAGAAGAGATGAGCGTCTATGTGTTCCTATAGGTAAGCCCACGCCTGAAATTGCTCCGGAGGTAGGCACGTCACTCGGTTTGTGTGTCCTAGCATGGGAGCTGAGGTTATCGTGATTCGGTTATTTATTCTTAGTCAAGCTAATATCATACTTCACAAATAAAGCCAGGCTGTGTCAGGTCACCAGCCTTTGCCTTTGTTCGTCTGTCACTTATTTGTATTTGTATTTGTATTTGTATTTAAAGAGCACTCCACAGCAGCAGTGGCTTTTCTGGCTCCGCGTCACAATGTCACATGCATGGTAGAAAGGATAAAAATATTCACTCATACATACAAATTACAGGTGCAACGGCACACCAGCATGCATGTCACCGGTCACACACATCCACACTCTCATACACGGCGTCAAATCAGGTAATAGAAGACAGCATTCGTCGTTTTAAAGCGCGTTTGAAGCCCTGTCCACTGAGCGAAACCAGTTCGGGTGGCAGCTGGTTGTGCAGCGCCGGCGCTCTAGCACAGAATCGTCTTTTACCCGCCTCGGTCCTCGACCTCGGCACACTGAGCAGACCGTCCTGCCTGGTGGCGCGCTGGCGTACCTCCTCATTACGATGGAGGACGGCTGCTAGTGAGTGGGGCTCTCCTCTGCGGAGCACCCTGTGCGCCAGGTAGAGTGTAGAGTGATCGGCCAGCTGCTGGGCCTCGAGCCAGCCCAGTCTCTCCCGCAGGTCCGCCACGTGATCAAATTTTCCTCGGCCGAAAATCACCTTTGCAGCGAAATTTAGGATCTTCTGTACTCTGACCATGTTCTTTTTAGTACCGTTACCATAAACTGATATGCAGTAGCGGACCTGCGAGAGAACCAGGGCTGTTACAAGGGAGGTGATGACACCTCGCGGCACCACATGTCGCACGTGCGACAGGCCGATCAGGGTCCCAGTGCAGCGGCGGGTGACGGCACCCACGTGACTGTCCCATGTCAGGTTTTTGTCAAACGTTACACCCAGATTTTTGACCTCGTTACAAGGGACGAGGGTTGTGTCACGGAAGGTGACTGTGAAATTTGGAAGGTTGCGCAAATTTTGGCGGTTTCCGAAAGCAATGAGTTGAGTTTTGTTCGCGTTGACCTTGAGAGCATTCGCGCAGAACCATTTGTCCAAAGAAGCAAGTGAGTTTTCCATGCTAGTGATGAGTGCTGGGAGTTCACTCTTTTTGCCTGAGACAATCACCTGGGTGTCGTCTGCGTACTGCAGCACTCTAGCATCGGCGGCGTGTAGCGACACTTAAATGAATAAAACTGCTGCAACTTCACAACGCTTTCAACGGCAATGAAATATAAATTCCAGCAAAGTGGTACACATTTTCTGTGTACATATAACATTTCATTTATCTTAGACTTTCACGTGTAGTTCACCCGAGGTCAGGTCAGGCACGTGACATCCCCATTATAAATAAGTCCATAGAACAATGCCTACTCCTGCTAATTGGTGTCGAGTACATACATCGGATCTTAGACCAAGAAAACAGGCACTACCTATTCACTGCGTCTCGTGACAGCCAGGTATGTATTAACAAAAGTAAAAAAGCATAATTCATGCATCATATCAACATCACATCTTATCATATGAATTCACCAACCGGCTCTTATGCGCTGCCGCCGTGGACACCGATCGTCCGTCAGTCCGTCGGTCCGTCGGTCCGTCCGTCCGTCCGTCCGTCCGTCCCTGCTGGCGGTGTCGACTGCCTCCTCCCGGCCCCCGGCCGTCAGTCGGTGGTTGTGCGTCGTGCCGTGCAGGGATCGCCGGGTCAACCCGTCTCGGAGCTGTACCGCGGTCATTGTCGGCAATTTGTCAGTACAGTGGAACGCAGAGTAGGGTAACCGACAGAGCCAAGGCCAAATAATCATCCGTCAAGTGATAATGTGTGTCTCGGAGACGGGCGGACGGTATGGCACCACGTGATCGAGTTAGCTGCGGCTGTAAACATCCCGCTCTGTGGAAGTGGAAGTGCCTGCGGCGCCAGTCGCAGTGTGGTATGCTGATGGGTCTGGAGCGGTCCCTTCAACAGAGGGTGGCTGATCAGACGGACAGCAGGAGACACCCAGCCATGGCGGGGCCCAGGTGCCGGATAACACCCCTTTCCGTGACTGTGGCAGCCGTCGTGCTGGTGGTGCTGCCGCTGCATACCGGTGAGATGAAATGGCGAATGTGACGAATGGGTGGGCACGGGAGAGTGCGTAGTGTCTGATTCCCTTATCGTGGTATTTTTAAGCGTAAACGTAATCGACAGAAGATCAAAGATGAGCCACAGCCTCTTGTATTATGAAACGAAAGCCAGCAAAATTGAGGCATCAATAGGGGTTATAATTAGATCGATTGACCGAATGATAGTTTATTGATGATAGGAATATCAGCTACGGATTATAATTAATAATGTTATAAGTAATAATAATTGTAATAATTGATAATAATAACTTATTTTGAACGGTACAATTTATAATGTAACATTTGTGATATAATCATAGTATTAATTGATTCTATACTATCCAAACGCTACAAGTAGGTATGTTGGCATCCTATGCAAACAAAGCTAAATAGAACTTGCAATTAATTTGCAATAGCAAGGGCTTCTTGGGTAAAATATTTAGGGTACCGATGAGATATTGGCACGATAATTATTTCGTATGAAAACAATCACAATAATTCGTATATAATGTAAGATAAAAACACCAAAACCACCCAACGTTTCGTGTTATTCACTTTTTCAAGGGTGATATGACCCATTTTACCTACAGAGTCAAGTTTTTGGATCAAAACTTTTCTAAAACCCAACGGAGAATTATAGAAGCGGCGTTTATTGCGAAAGGTGATGTTTTGAACACCTCGAGTGGATTCTTTAGACTAGCTTCGGTGTCTGCTCTGTTGGCTAGGAAAGACGTTAATTTGTAGTATGTGTGTACGTATGTATCAATATGTCATGCAAGGCAGAGGAAATTTGTGAAAAAGTGCCCGCGCTATATTCGAACGAAACCGAAAAAACGTACTTGACTCTGTAGGTAAAATGTGTCATATCACCCTTGAAAAAGTGAATAACACGAAACGTTGGGTGGTTTTGGTGTTTTTATCTTACATTATATACGAATTAATTTGTCCAATTCAAATTATCAATCACAATAATATTTTGAAATTTATGCTTAGCATTTTTTTATTGAAAATTAAGCAACAGGATATATAGGAGCATACGAGCCACTCGTACATGCATCCAGCTACTCTGCGATAAAAGCCTTTTTATGTTCCCGTCTAAATAAAATGCTTTTCGCGACAGATACGGACTTGCGGGCGATGGTCAACAGAAAATCTGTTTGTCATGCGCGTTAACTCGTTAACTTATATCTGAGGATCTATGTCTGAGATAATTGGTTCTTCAGCACTGGATCAGTCGCCGCGCTTCCATATTACCAAATTGGCCAGAGTTTGGTTCTCTCCCTGGAAGTTGGGTATTTTGCTTTTTAGAAGCAGCGCGTGCCCGTGTAGGACAGGCTTGGAACCTGACGGCTAGCTTTATCCGTCTGTCTACCTCCTCCCCTCATGGATGCTTTAATTAGTAGGTATAAAACGTTTGATGAGGAACTAAAAGAAGAGGAAGGATCACACATCAGGCACTCGTTGTTTCATCCGTTTCACATCGTAGTTCCTACCGTTCAACCTCGCTCTCATTGTAGAAAGTCGATAAGTCGCCGACTGTTCGTGGCATGTCCGCTGTGTGGAAACCGAGTTTTTATCCGAGTCTCTGACAGAACTACAAACGAGCGGTCGTCCAGCGTCGTTCCCTCCGCAAAACGCCGAGATCAAAAACAGTGAACTACCCTTTGAGAATGTCATGACTCGTGAAGCTCACATCGGTCATCTTGAATCATTCCGATAGCCACATTGGACATATTAAAAAATCGATTCAGCTGCAGCTGATGTGACGGGTAACATATTCTTCTAATCACAATGAAACATTGCATTTTGTTATCGTGATATCCAGCATTCCAGTATGACAAAATACTAGCCAAATGCCTCAATTTGGCTCGGCCATTTTCCAAGAAAGCAGTATTTGTTGTTGCCTTATAAATGAGTCAGTCCACAGGAACAATTTAATTTGCACAGTTTATAACACATGGATGGATGATGTCATAAATTCCATCAGGGAATGTATTTTATCCCGTTATAGTCTAGGCAAGTTTCATATTTACAACAAATAATGTAATGCAATGTATTTTTGATAAATGATACCTACCTATGCAGGTATACCTATACCATTTTTCGTTCTGTTCATAACAAAAAGAACCTGCAAACAATTAATACTAAGCAAGCAATACCCTACAATTTTCTTCTTTGCTCTTTCGATAGTGGCGTTCCACTCGATTAGTGACAACTGACAATGCAACGTTGAACAAATCTGAAGCATTGTTTAGTGGTGAGTTTTAAGTCGAACCAGTCAGATGTTTATATGCAGGCGGGCACTGAATCAGTGTGAGCATGACAGAATTAGATTCGCTCACTTAGTACACGCATCAAATATCTGACTACCGAAGTCCCTCCTTGTTATACCTTGGTTCCCTCCTTGGTATACCGCTCACGTATAGTGTCCGGCGGGATCCCTGATCTCTCCTCTAACTGGGACGCTGGCGCAGAGGTGGTATCCCGTGGTCGGCCAGGTCCTTCCACATGCAGTGACCGTCCTGGTTTCACGTCAGCTCCTCCGTACTCAGTGGTAGTATCACTCAGCGTAGACCGACGCCATACTGCACACTGTGTAAATAAACAATGTGTTTCTAAAAACCATTTGCATATGCCATGTATTAGAAGCAGTATTCACCACGGGCAACAAAATCCCAGTCCAGCCCGGCCCAGGCCCATGGGTTTACAGTCAGGCCTAGCTCGAACCCTGGTAAAGGTTGCATGTGTAAGCCCTGCCTAGCACAGCCCGCGTCAAAAATGAATGAATTAAAAGTTATTGACAACACACAAGTATTATGCTACACAATGCTAGCAAAGACACAATCTTTTGGGAGCTGAATGCACAATGCACATGTAACTACATGTGTCTTATTAACTCGTTTGAGAGTCTTACACAGTAAGAAGCTGGTTATGTTTTTTGTCTCATTCGCGAACACCTGAGTCCATTTTAAAGTTCTTGACCCAGCCCGTCCAAAGCCAATCGATCTTTCATATTTGAGGGCCCCCGGCCCAGCCCACCCCATAGCCTAACACGGCCCATGGCCCGAATTGAGTTGGCCCGGCCTGCATGGCGAACACTGGTTTGAAACCTAGGTTAGGCTAGGTTTGAAACACTCCAACAGCGTCAGGTCCAGTCTCACGCTTTCTTTTTCGCTGTAACCGAGAACCTGTTCTCGCGCTGCCCATCCAATTTATATTCTCCTCAGACTTCTTTTTTGCCTGCAAACAAGTGTCCATTGGGAATGAACTTTCTTACGGACTTTAGACTTTGTAACTAGAAAATCCACTTCTTAGAAGTTAGGGCTATGACAGTTCCCTGCTGGGTCAGAACAGTATTTCTCGCCAATAAATAATTCACGAGGACTAGCCAAAGCAATGCTGTTTGACCGTGGAGCGTCACGGAATGGCGAGCTAGCTGGCACGTTGCGCCGACTCGCGAGTTTGAAGATTGTCTGTTTCAATTAAACCCACGGAAGTGAAAGTTACACGCAAACTCAGCAGCGATGTTTTGAGTTGAAATGTTCTCAGATCTAAGCACCTATTTAACCAGCTCTGGAGGTTAAAGGGACACTCCTACGGATTCTCCACGGATTCTAAGGGGCTAATGCATTGGAATGCCCCCTTAGAATTTGTGACGTCAGCGGAGATCTAACGATTTTTAAATCTTAGACTAAAACCATCGTTAACACGTGGTGGTATATAGGTACCAAGGTACGCTGCTTTGCGCGCAACGTCTGCCGCACTTTAAGGCTGCCAAATTATTGCTTCCAAATAAAGTCGCTAGTAACAGGGGAGATCCCAAAAAGTAAACAAAAGTAAAAGCCTAATATCTTAAAAACCAGTGAATATTTTTCGGTGAAATTTGGTAGATATTCGTTTTCGCTCTTTCTGAACCAAGGGACATCACTTTCATGCCAATTCATTAACTTTTTTGAAGGTGGGAGGGTCCCTTTAAGAGATGTTAAAAAGTATAAAGCTTTCAGCTATTAAATCCCAAACGCCGGCCAGTGTTATCAGAGAGTTTATGATTTTTTTTATAACCAGCGTTTTATCTTCAGAAATAGTTGGATGTAAAAAATGCTGAGATTTGAATAGGTGAATATTTAAAGGTAGTGTGCCAGCTTTCCTGGACCGTATGGAGTTAATGGCCCAGATAAGGAGAACCGGATTTTTAGAACTTATCCATACCTACCTTCAAAACTCATGGAAACGTCTTAAATTCTTCAAATTTTGAGTACCCCAGTGCGAAATTCGCCCCGACGGGTTGTCGGTCGTACCCCAACCACATTTCACACCACTATGAACAATAAATGCACACACTGAAATCGCTATTACCGATATGCTCATCCAATCAAGTTTCGATAAACCCGTTCATCATCATTTCCTGCGGTTTCGAACACGCCTGTTAGGTGGTGCGGTAGACCGCGCCCAAAGCCAGGGCCCCGGTAACGTGAGGTAGCCGAGTCGGGGCAGCGTGCGCTGACCCAAGCCGGGGCCGCGCGTCCTCCCGGTGTCATGTGATAGCCCAGGGCTGCCCGCGGGGATGCGGTAGACCGCGCCCAAAGCTGCGGCCCCGGCTTGGGTCAGCGCACGCTGCCCCGACTCGGCTACCTCACGTTACCGGGGCCTTGGCTTTGGGCGCGGCTTCTGCTCATACTTTGTGGTGCGGTGGTGGTGCGTCGGGCCGCGCGCTCTGACTTCGGCCAAGAAAAATGCGTCAGCTGATCATTGTCATTTCTGCCACTTGCGTGTGGTGAAATGGGGTCATAACTTAAGAGACGGCTTTTTCATATCAATTATTTTACATAAAATCATATTTCAAACCATATATAATGTTCGACAGCCAAATAAAAGAAACAATACCAATACAGGCTTCCAGTTTAAGGCTCGACGTTGTGTTGTCTACGATTAGACAGCTGATAACTCATTCCCGTACGTCGTAACTCTATAATGACCTTTGCTT